CTCTCTCTCTCTCTCTCCTTCCAAGAATTCAGGAGGTTGGCCCCTCGAAGAGCCCTGAGTTAGGCAGGTTCCTAACAGCTCTCTACCCACAACTCTTCAACCTTCCTAATGAACCCCGGATGCTCTAACCACATGTTCTCAAATCTAAATGGAGTTGGGCCCACACTATGCACCTCCTCCTTACAAAGTACAATAGGCCAATGGTCAGAAGTCACCATTGGGAGTGCTCTAGAGTTCAGATTCCCCCAATGTTCTTCCAGGTTGTTTGTAAATAGGAATCTGTCCAACTTAGAGCAAATTGGATTCATTTGGAGATTGGACCAAGTATACCACCTCTGTGACAATGGAATTTCTTTTAATTCAAAGGCCTCAATGAATTGGTTAAACCTCCTCGTACTTGTGGTGCTCCTCTGCCTAGAACTATTTGTTTCTGCCAAGAATCTTGTTACAATAAAGTCACCTCCTAGGCACCATGGACCTTCCCACAAACCGCTTATGTCTGCAAACTCCTCCCATAATAATCTTCTTTCTCTATAGTATTTGGCCCGTACACATTGGTTAATACCCATTCAAAACTATCTTCCACTTGCCTAAATTTCAATGAGACTATGAATTGTCCTACCAATTCCTCTAGGCCTTCCACTACCTCATTTTTCCACAATGTCACCACCCCCCTACTGATCCCCAAGATGGTAGGACCACCCAACTAATCCCCCTACTCCTCCACACACTCCTTACCCATTTGGTATCAAATTCTACTCTTTTCTTTTCCTGTAATAGTACCACATCGGGGTCCATTTTCCAGACTCCTTACTGCTCTTTTCATTGCACTACCCAGTCCTCTCACATTCCAACTTATAATTTTCATTACTCTTTTTATGTCCACCCCTCGCTCCTTTTCCCTCACCTACTTCGTCCCCTCCTCGCCCCTCTAGTTCTAATGCCTTTGTCACTTGCCCCTTCCTTCACCTTGCTTCCAGCCTCACTCATTCTCCTCCACTCGGCCTTGACTTCTTCTCTCTTTTTCTCCAGGAATGCTTTCAGCTTATTTGGATCCTTCAGTTTACACCCCAGTTTCTATACAAATATTGCCACAGAATCCTCACTTGCCAATTCTTTTTTCTCTGATTCTTTCATTTTATCTCCCAGGCCAGTGTCCCCACCTGTGCCTTCTTCCTCCTTGTTGTACCCTAACCTAGTCTCAGTATCCCTTCCTTTTAACCATTCATTCTCCTCCTCCTCCCTCTCTAACTCCTCTCTACCTCTACAACTAATACCTGGCCCCCCTTCTCCTACACAGACTGCAGCCTCTGAAATGGGAACGGAATCTGGCACACAGGACACAGAGCAACCATTAGTACCAATAACTGAAAAGACACTGTTACCTTGGTTTAGCTGGAGCGGACTGGAGGCACTGGAGTTAGAAGCTATCGGATCCTGGAAGGTGTGGTTGTTGGAAAGCTCCTTGGTTTGGATCTGTGGAGTGAACCGTCCTGTCTCTTTCGTTTTACAGCGGTCCCTCTCTGCACCCAGTTGTTCGTCCCTCCTTTCTACGTTCTTGCTTTGCTTCAGAGGAGTCATGGATAGTTAATTACTAACTCTCGCCCATTATCAAGCTTTGGTTCAGGAACTTCTAAGTCCAGATCGACGTTGCCTTCCCCACCCTTGTTCTCCCGTGTATAAGCCGATCCAGCCAATATCCTTCCCCTATGTCTTCTGAAAACAATGTACTAAGGTGCAGGGTTGCAGCCAAGTCCGCCTCTGAAAGTTGTTCTACCTCCGTACTGCCTATGCTGGACTGGTCATCCGAGTCCTCTTCCAAATCTGGGTCTTCTAGCTGGTAGTTGACCCAGCCCTCATCAACCCCTTCCTTTTCCGCGCCACCCTCTCTTACATATCTGGGATTCGGTCGATCTTTCACTGAGCTGCTTCCTTTTCAATGCTCAGGCACTGATCTAGGGACCCATTGCAGAGGTTTCGTTTTTCGCCAAGCCAAAATAGGGCCTCCTGTAGTTTTCCCATTCTAGGCACCCCAAGATGGAGCCGAGGACCAACTAACACCCCTAATCCTCCAAAAACTTCTTATCCATCTTCCATCCAGTTCAGAGAGCTTTGTCTCTTGCACCATCACAATATTAGGCTTCTCTCTTGTGAATAAATCCTTTATTACCCTCCTTTTCCTAGCACTTCCCAACCCTCTCACATTCCAACTGATAATCCTCATGGACACACTTTCAATAAAGTCCCTCTTGAAGTCAACTCCTCACCTAGAGTTGATTCTTTAAATTTTGTTGTTAGAGAAATGGGTATTAGTGCATTACATTACTCCCACAAAAAATCCCACACACCCTAGATAAAGGGCTTCGTTTTCTCATTGTTATGCTTACTTTCAATGGGAGAGGGTAGTTGTTTGGACTAGGCTATTAATTCTTACTCATTCTTCCTCCTCTCTACCCCAGAATATACACTGCTTCATCTCTATATATTAACAAGATCTCTGATCAGCCACCAATCAAAGACAGACATTGTAATGGAATGGAAGGTAACTTACAAATAGATACCAAAGAGACCAAGTACAACAGACACAGGAGTTGCGAACTCAAGTTAAGATATTATAGCAAATTGAGATATAAGTTAAGAAGATGCAATTAAGTAACAAATTTTAAAAAGCAAATATTATATTTTCTAACAAGTTCAAAAGAAACAAATCTTTCTAATTTCTGATATTAGAGTAACTTACATCTGAATCCTTCAAAATATCATTCTCAAGAATTTCAAGAAAATAATTCAATGGTGCGGCCTCAAAAGCTTGGCGAACATACCCCGCATGATCAATCTCCTGAAATAATACACCAATCAAATAAAAAAAAAATCTCATGAAACAATGTTGAGTCAACATCAAGTTGTAAAGTAAGAATGGAGCTGATATGAGAGAGAACATTTTAGCAAAGTCATATACCATGAGCACATTATTATCTTGTTTTTCAGGAAGTGAGGAAATTAAACAGAGGAATACAGCCCATGCAAGTATCAAAGGACTTGCTTCTCCTGTCTCAAGAACATTGAAACTTGAAATCACAGAATCCATCACTTGGACATCCTTCAAGGAAAAAACAGAGTGACCCTGCCTGATAAAGAATGTCAAAAGTGATCCAATAACCAAACTAGAAAACAACGAAGAAAAAGAAGAATTTTCTTGTCTAATAAATAAAAGTTGTAGACCGGTTGATTATCAACAAAAAAAAGAAAAAAAAAAATATATATATATATACACACACACATAGAGAGAGAGAGAGGGAGAGAGAGAGAGAGAGAGAGAGAGAATTTTGCAGCATACCTGAAAGGCACTTCATCATGAACCATTTGAAGAAGACTTTCCAGGTCCAAGGTTTCAATAAGAATTAGCAGTAGCTGAACTTTAGCATGATATAAAGAATTTCTTGCTTCAATTGATAATGTCAACATTGCAAAGTTAAAAGACCCAGATAAGACACCCTGAAATTAGGCACCATACGCAAGGATTCAGATGGAAAACTGCACAGGATCCAGCATCTAATAAAAAATAAAAAATCAAGATAGTACCTTGTAAAGCAAACACAAATTCTTCCATTGTTCACCATTACAAGCACAAAATGACTCGTAATAAGCGAGGAAAAGAATGTCCAAGACCAAACTATCTTCAATCAGAGTCTCTTCAGCCCACAAAGTGGCAAGGTCAATTTCCTACAATGCATCCTCACAATTCCACATCAGAAATTAAAATAAATAATTGGTCTTTTTTTTAGAGAGAAGTTAAGAATAAAAAGGAAAGAATGGCAAGCAACACGAACAAAACGGACAAGGAAGAATTCTACCCATCGTCCTTACTATTTTTCTCAAACAGAAACATCATACTAGAATAAGTATCAAATATTAGTAAGCCATAATAATATTGATAGGGATCATACAGCAAACTTCAAGACTTATAGAAGAAAGATAAGCGCCCAACAATCTAAGGCTTTGATTCTTATTTTGCACAATAATTGAGAAGATTCTAGCTGCGAGCTAGAATAAATTCTGAGTGTTATGAGTTAGTAATTGAGTTTATGAAACAGTAATGTTAGAAGTTTGTTAGGAGAGTGTTTACAGCAAGGTTGTACTTGAATAAAACAAATAGAATACTGCTGTGAACTGATGTAATTTAAGAAAAGAAACACAGGTTCGAAGAGAAGAGAGAGAGAAAAGAAAAGAGAGAAAGGAAGGAGAAGAGAGATAAACATTAATTTCCTTACAATAGTAGGAGTTACTCTAATACCCCTACTTAAACTCTAACACAAAATAAAAAAGATAAACATAAACAAGGCCCAGCCAGCCCAACTGTGAAAGGAAATAATAAATAAAAAACATAATAAATAAGTGTGGGGTTGGAACCACACACACTACTAAAACTATCTCTTCAACAGTGTGGGATTGGAACCACACACACACCTAACTATCTTTACACTCCCCCTCAAGTTGGGAGTAGATGTTTGTCATTCCCAACTTGCGTAAATTTGTCTCCAGCTTGCTCTTTGTGACTGCTTTGGAAGGAGATCAGCTAATTGCATGTCTAAGGCAATGTAAGGAAGACATACTTCTTGAGATGCAACTCGCTCTCGGATAAAATGTCTGTCCACCTCAATATGCTTTGTCCTGTCATGCTGTATTGGGTTGTGGGCAATATTAATTGCAACTTGATTATCGCAATACAGCATCAGAGGCTTCTCATAATCAATTTCTAGCTCATTAAGCAAGGATCTCAGCCATAACACTTATGCAACACCATTTGGCCATGGATCCGTATTCAGCTTCTGCACTAGAGCGAGCAACAACATTTTGTTTCTTGCTTCTCTAGGAAACAAGATTTGCCCCCACAAATGCACAATATCCAGAGGTAGACTTCCTGTCATCAACGCAACCAGCCTAATCCGCATCTGTATACAATTCTATCTTCATGTGACCATTATTCTTGAAGAGTATACCTCTCCCTAGGCATCTCTTCAAGTAGTCAAGAATCCTTTCCACTACAAGGAGGTGAGTGGTCCTAAGAGAATGCATGTATTGGCTAACACTAACAGCATATGAAATATTTGGCCAAATTAGGCAAAGATAAAGAAGTTTCCCAACCAGCCTTTGGTACATAGCCCTGTCCTCAAGAGGTACTCCACTTTCTACACTTATTTTATGGTTAAGCTCAATAGGTGTGTCAGCTTGTTCCACTCCTAACCTTCTAGTTTCCTCCAATAAGTCAAGAACATACTTCCTCTGAGAGATAAAAATGCCATGCTTAGATCAAGCTACCTCAATTCCCAAGAAATAGTGCAATTCTCCCAAGTCCTTCACTTCAAATTCCTTGTGAAGATGTTGTTTAAGAGATTCAATCTCACTAATATCACTCCCTATTATCACAATGTCATCTACATAGACTGCAAGTAGTGTCAGGGAAAGACATGTCTTCTTAAAGAAGAGAGTGTGATCTAATTGAGCCTGTATGTAGCCAAATTTGTCCAAAGCCAGTCTAAACCTATCAAACCAAGCTCTCGACGAATGTTTCAGGCCATATAAAGCCTTCTTTAGTAGGAAAACTTTCTTTCTTGCTTTTGTACTATAAAAGCCAAGGGGTAACTCCATGTATACCTCTTCTTGCAAGTTTCTATTGACGAAAGCATTCTTAACATCTAGCTGAAATAGTGACCATGAGAAGTTTGTAGCAATGGATGGTAGGACTCTAATAGTGTTCATTTTTGCAACAGGTGCAAAGGTTTCCGCATAGTCTATGCCATAAGTTTGTGTGAATCCTTTTGCAACCAATCTGGCCTTATACCTCTCTACAGTACCATCAACATTATATTTTACAATAAACACCCATTTGCATCTAATAGGTTTCTTCCCTTCAAGCTGGTTAACTAGTTCCCATGTGTTCTTAACAAGAGCATCCATCTCTGCTTTCATTACCTCCTTCCACTCAGGTATCAAAAGAGCTTCTTGCACTTTTCTGGGTATAGGAATAGTAGCAATAGATGCCAGGTAAGATCTATAGGACTCTAAGAAAAAATCATAGGAAAGGAACTTGGAGATACAATGGGCAGTGGATGAGGTGCAACGACGCTTCCCTTTACGAATTGCAATTGGAAGATCAAGGTCATCTGACGGTAGAGGCTGAGCATCAGTAATAGTGGGCTCAACAGTAGGAGCAATGGTAGTGTCTGGATCTGGGGCCATAGAAGATGTTGGGATTGACCCGGATTGCTGCTGAGGACAGGAATCAACCTGCCTCCACCACTTTCTGTGATATACCCCCAACTCCCTGCACTTTTGACAACCCTCTTCACGACACTCCCCCTCAGTAACTGGGACAGGTAAAGGAACTTTTGGGGCTGAAATTGAAATCCCTTCCTCACCATTCTCCCCCTGAGGAGAAGCCCTATAATAGTAGGGCATATCCTCAAAAAAGGTGACATCCATGGACACAAAACGTTTCCCTAAAACAGGCTCATAACAACAATATCCTTTTTGATTTTGTGCATACCTAAGGAAAATACACTTAGTAGCTTTGGGATCAAACTTGGAACGATGAGGTCCAAGGATTTGAACAAAACAAATACACCCAAAAGTTTTGAGAGGAATAGTGAACAGGTCCTTATCTGGATACATAAGGCCGAATGGTGTTTGCATGTTTAGAACCTATGAAGGAACCCTGTTAATAAGGTAAACGGCTGTACGGAATGCATCCCCCCATAAACGTATGGGAACATTGAAGTTGAGCATGATGCATCTGCTACCTCTAAGATATGTCTATTCTTTCTCTCAACAACCCCATTTTGTTGAGGTGTACGAGGACAGGTGCTCTGATGAATGACCGCATGATCAAGGAGATAGGATGCCAAGGGTTTTGCAAAATATTCCTTGGCATTATCGGATCTAAGAATTTTGATCTTCATTTCAAACTGGGTTAGAACCATTTGATGGAAAGCCTGGGTCAGAAAAGGGACCTCATCTCGAGAGTGCATAAGGTAAACCCATGAGAAGCGGGTATAATCATCAACAAATAACAAGAAATATCTGTACCCCCCCCCCCATAGTGGGAGTATGATATGGCCCCCAAACATCGGTATGCACAATTTCAAAAGGAAGGTTGCTTCTTTTGTTACTCAAAGGATAAGATGATATACTGTGTTTTGCAAGTTCACAACTTTCACACTTCAAACTAGACACTTCGACTGACTCGAATAAATTTGGAAAAATACTCTTCAAAGACCCAAAACACAAATGACCTAATCGGTTATGCCAAAGCATAATCTTACTCCAAGACTGAGAGACAAACAATTTTCCCACTTCACTCTGCTTCCCCTTTGGATGTTCAAGCAAGTAAACTCCATTCATCTCACAGCCAATCGAATTCACCTTCTTCGTTTCCAGATCTTGAAAAACACACTGATCAGGAAAAAAGGTTACTGGGCAATTTTGATTTTTAGTAATACTACTAACTGAAAGCAAGTTAGCACTAAGCTTAGGAACATGCAAAACTGAGGATAGGGAGATGGCATCAGACAATCTGATGTCTCCCTTGCCAGAAATTGGCACAAGGGAACCATCAACAATAGAAACTTTGTCTCTCCTAGAGGATAAACAATAGGTGGTAAACAAAGTAGATAGGCTGGTCATATGGTCTGAAGCACCTGAATCTATTACCTAGAAAGGCCTAGTGTTACCTAGGACAGAAGCATGACATGCAGTAGCTCTTGTACCTGTATGAGCAAGGGCTGAAGTAGGATGAGTAGGAGTGGTGACTGAAAACTGAGATGTAGATCTAGAAATACCAGCTTCATTCTCTAGTTGTGTTGTGCAGCCCAGACAGCTACTAAAGCATCCAAGGATGTGGTCCTTGTGCTGGAAGAAGATGTACTGTCAGTAGTAGTTGCTATATTGGCACTCCCCTTCTTGTTTCTAAGTCTAGCTAGCATTAGGTGAGGATGCAATTTCCAACAGGTATCCCAAGTGTGTTTGGGCTTTTTGCAATAATCACAAAAAATCTCTCTCTTGTGTTCCTTCCTAATTTCCCTTTCCTTTCCCCCTCCAACCTTAGATTTTGTTGCTGCCAAGGCTGCTTCTATGGGCTGAAAAGATAGCATAACCTTCCTCCTACTCTCTTCATTGTGGACTAATGAGTAGGCCTGAGATAAAGTCACACTCTCCCTAGTGAGAAGTTGTTGTCTTATAATGTCAAACTCTGAGTTTAGACTGGCTAATAACTCAAAAACTCTATTTGTTTCAATCAGTTTTCTGAATGTTGCTACATCCCTCTAGCTTTCCCATTCAATAGTTTCTAAGTGATCAATTTCATGCCAAAGAGATTTCAGAGTAGCAAAATACACTGAGACTGGCTTCTCCCCTTGCTTGAGGTTATTCACTTCACACTTCAGCTCATAAGCCCTAGCAACATTGAGTGGTTGGGAATAAGTTTCCTTCATACTGTCCCAAATCTCCTTGGTTGTTTTTGCCCAAAGATAGTTGCGGCTGATGTGGGGCTGCATGGAATTACATAGCTAAGTCATTACTAAGTAATTCTCTTGAACCCATTTTGCATGTAAAGTATCTTCCTTTGCTGGCTTCTTTGTATCTCCAGTCACATGGCCTAATTTACCTCTACCTCCAATAGCCATCATTGCTGATTGGGCCCACTCCAAGTAATTGGTTCCATCAAATCTAACAGTGGTAATTTGAAAAGAATTTCCAGTCATGTTACCAGTCCCAAAAAATCCTTCCCCTTGTGTTTTTAACTCACTTCCAAACTTCTCCATTCTTAAGAGAGCACTAATAAGCTAAAAACTTCCAAGAAGAATACCTAAAAGGATAAATTCTTTTTCTGCAACACTAAAAAATAGAGAAGACAACCCAGAATTTAATCTCAGTCAATAGATCCTTTCCAACAGTGCAAACAGTCAGAAAAAGGTCAACTTCCTGGTAGACAGATCTGGACTGTAATCAGCCGATAGACCCTTTCCAAGAATGCAAACACAGTCAAGGATTAACTCCCTGGTAGACAAACATGGACTGTATTCAGTCCAATATTCACAGTCAAAAGTTCAAGATCAGATCTTTTCCAGATGATCCCTCCAAGAAAGGCTCACAGTCAAAAAATAGTTCGTAGGGTTAAGAACAAACCCTAGAAAACTCAGATTTTCTCAGTCGTACCTTCTAAATAAATCTAACTTATTTCTTACTACTGCTGGCTCAAGAAGAAATGAAAACTTACCCAGAAAACTCTGATTGCCACCTTCAATCTTGATAAAGATCCAATCTAGATTCCTCTAACCTTCTCTGATTCTTCCTGATTACCAAAAAAACACTCTCCAATCTCCGGACAGCTGCTAACGATCTCTGGTAACCTCCAAGAATCAGGCAAAGATAGCTCCTTTCTAATCTTCCAGCCCTAGATAATTCTCATGCGGTCGACTGGGTTAGACTCACATGAGAAGCCCTAGATCGAGCTCTGATACCAACTTGAATAAAACAAATAGAACACTGCTGTGGACTGATGTAATTTAAGAAAAGAAACACAGGTTCAAACTTCGAAGAGAAGAAGAGAGAGAGAAAAGAAAAGAGATAAAGAAAGAAGGGATTCGGTTGTGTATACCTGCCGCCCCATTTAATTGTTATTTATAAACATTAATCTCCTTACAATAGTAGGAGTTACTCTAATAACCCTACTTAAACTCCAACACAAAATAAAAAAGATAAACATAAACAAGGCCCAGCCGGCCCAACTATAAAAGGAAATAATAAATAAAAAACAAAATAAATAAGTGTGGGGTTGGAACTACACACACTACTAAAACTATCTCTTCAACAGTGTGGGGTTGGAACCACACACACTACTAACTATCTCTATAGTTGTTTCAGTTATATAGTTGTTAGGAGTCATAGTTCTCGGTTTACAGTGCAAATTAATAATCCTAAGAAGCCAAGTAAGAGTAGGACACCTAGTTAGGACAATCACTTGCTATTTTATGTTGTATTGGTTTTATCCTTTTGATAAGTAAAAGTAAGGTTTTATTAAAGAACAAAAAATGCGAGAGAGACAGAGAGAAAGAAGAGAGAAGAGAATATGAAATCACACGAATGAAAATAAGAAAAACAATGTAGATTCACAAGAATGAAAGAGAGAAAGAAGAGAAAAGAAAAGAAAAGAATATGGAAAGAATTTGGAGCGTGTGAAGCCCTTTCTTTTCCAAGTTTGAACCCCTTTCCTTTCTAATTATCTGAACCTCCTGAAGAAGTACAATAATACAAGGGCTCAAGCTGGCTAAACAGCTTCAGCCCAGGGGACTCTCTTAGAGCAGAAGTTCTGGCACTCCTACAAAGGCTCAAGCTGGCTAAACAGCTGGGTTTTCAGCAGTTGGAAGTGGAGAGAGACTCAAAACTGGTAATAGGTTGGATACAAACAAACAACTTAGGCGCCTGGTCCCTTGGACAACCTGTAAGGGAGATTATGCAACTAAAAGGGGAGCACGAAGTCAGGTTTAAATGGACTAGGAGATCAGCCAATGCAATGGCTGATACTTTAGCAAAGCAAGGAGTTAGTAGGCAGAACCTTTTTTGGGCCTGTTTGTAATTTGGTGAGGGGTCACCTTGTTTTTTGAAGGTGACAGTTGTACCAAGTTTCTTAAAGAATTAATGAAAGTTACTGTTTCCAATCAAAAAAAAAGTACAATAATACCAGTAACTGTTCAAGACAAAATGTCACCCACCTTCTGGAATCCATAGCATCCTTGGAGCTTTCTCAGTCCCTTGTTTCCACATGATAGATCTCTTGCTAGAGAGACTTTAGAGTGGAAAAATACAATGATAGTGCTTTCTCCCCCCTCTTTAGATTATTTATCTTGTTGTACAATTGATATGCTCTAGCCACATTTAATGCCTGGCAACAAGTCTTATCTTCACAATTCTACATCTCCTTTGCAGTATTTGCCCACAAGTACTTTCCTACTAATATGTGGTTGCATTGAGTTAATGAACCAAAAAGTAAGCATGTAATTCTCCTGTACCCATCTACCACAATGTGGATCCACAATCTCTGCTTTCACAGTTTCTCCTGTAATGTACCCAAGACTTCCACACCCATCTATGTACATTTTCATAGACTGAAACAACTCCAGACTGGTTTATCCAATTTAAGAGTGGCCACCAGCACATCTCAACTCTTTCCAACACTGCTCGAGACAATATTCTGGTCTAGGCCTAGCTTTCAGTCACTTCCAAAAGGATCCGGGGATCTAAAAAAATTCCAATAATATTCCTCAATAAACAGGAATGATAAACAACTACAAAAACTGACTGATAGTCAGGACCAAAAAGGTTCTGTAGGTGGAAAACCTAACCTGTGCAAAAATAGAACTAGAGAAAGAGGGGTGCACTATAAAACTCAAACTACCCTCTAGTTCTAGGGAAATATCCTTGAGATTAATTAATGCAAGAGTGCCACTTCCAAAGCAACTTCCTAGGGTTGACAATCAAAAAATTGAAGACTGATACTTTTGGCCAATTTTCTCAGACTACTCCTAAGCAATAGAAAAACATAGACAAATCTCAATAAATCCTAACAAAATCAGTTTCAATTATAATGACCAACCCTCTCAGATCCCCATTCAATCTGTTGATCCTAAGCTTATGGTTCTTCCCAGGATTTCTGTTCTACGCAACCAACAAATTTGTAGGTTCAGAAAAAATGGTAAGAAAAAATGTAAATTCACAAGAATGTGAAAGAGACAGAGAAGATGGAGAAAGGGGAAGAAAAGAATATGGAATAGTTTCTTGGAGTGTATGTTACATTTTCTTTTCTATTTATATGAACATCTAAAAGAAGTGAATAATTATAATGATACCCCTGGCTGCCCCAAGACATAAGATTAACAATACACTTCCAATAAATGGACAAGTATCCAGTTGGTCATCCATCTAGACCAGCATGAAGACTAAACCATGATATCCCAAATCCCAGTAGTTTAATATCAGAGAAATTCAATTCCCAGACACATGCCCACAGCTGGAACACATAACAGGGGCTCAACACTTGTATGAAAGCAAGAAAATGTAAAGCGAATAAGAGACATAAATATAAAGCCCATCTAAATGGTTTATAGCAACCACCAAGCTTTAACAACTCCATGAATATGGTTTAGAACAAGCCTATACATCAAATATAAGTGGTAAAACTAAAACAATATTATAAATGCAAAGTGGTATCAGCATCAGAAATATTTCACAACATACTAGCTGACAGTTCCAAATTAAAAGAAAAGTATTATGCGGTTCAACATACCATATGTTCTGGATATTTGGAGGATAGAAGGTTCTGAAGAACGGATAATAACTTTCGTTCTAATCCATCAGCAAACAGCTTCAGTGCCTCCTCTTGAACGGCATTACCATCTTTGGATACATTTCCAATGTATACTACATCAAAAAAGAGAGAGAGAGAGAGAGAGACTTCAGATCCGGCTTAACTGGATAAGAACTCAAGCAGAGCCACATAAATGAGGTCTAAGGCTGTTGGTATTAGAACTCAATAAACAAACAAGAATGAAATATATAATACTCCTTTTATCAATAACAAAAAATTATATTAAAAAAACAACATATAGCTATTAGATAAGGTTCTTTCTTTTGAAGAAGAGCCCCTATTAGAAGATCCCATCTAAAATAGACATAAGAAAACAAACACAATGAACGATCTACAAATGTATTATCTTGGTATTAAAAAAATAATAATAATAAACAAGTTGAACCACCCTATCGCACCCCTGGTCAAGCTATCAGTGGAAAAATAAGCCAACTTTGGGATACACATAACAAGCTGTTCACTCTAGAGACCAAAGCTCTTGCTTGTTTGATATGATGCCACAAGGACCAGGGGCCAATAGAATAACCAAGCATCAAACCAAAAACCACCGGGAAATCTCCCTCAATCTCTATACTCTCAACACCTTGATGGAATGAGAGCACCCCTGGTCAAGCTATCAGTGGAAAAATGAGCCAACTTTGGGATACACATAACAAGCTGTTCACTCTAGAGACCAAAGCTCTTGCTTGTTTGATATGATGCCACAAGGACCAGGGACCAATAGAATAACCAAGCATCAAACCAAAAACCACCGGGAAATCTCCCTCAATCTCTATACTCTCAACACCTTGATGGAATGAGAGCCTAAAACCATAGAAAGACTAAGGGCCCGTTTGGCAAGTCTTTTTGAGAAGATCATCTTGTAGCTCTGACAGTCAAAATACGCATTGGGCTTTTGACATAAGATTTGGGCAGCCCGAAGACCGTTTGGCAGACATGCATCTTTCCGCACGAGATTAAAACGCGAAAGACGCGAGAAGCTTCATTTGGAGCTTCCTGAAATCAGCCCAAAATGGGCTTCTCGCGTCTTTTCGGCATCCCGTCTTTTGGCGGCTAGATCTTCCGCGTGCCAAACGGAAATAGACCGATTTTCGATCTTCCCGGCTTGTAAACAGCCAAAAGACCACGCGGAAAGATGCGCCAAACAGGCCCGAAATATCAGCACATGCGGATGGCCCACAAGACCAGAATGCACCATGATGATAGTACCACCCACATCCTTATAACAACCAACACAGAAGGATCCAGTCTTCCCAAAAGAGCAGCCATCACAATTGAGTTTAACAGCCCATCAAGTTGGAAGGGATCAATTCTATAACTTCACCTTCTACAACTCATAGAACCAGAAATAGCCTGCCATCCTCTGATAACTGAATCAATAGAGAACTCTATACAATAATACCTTGTCAAGTGTCAAGACCTCAATGAACTACTCTGATAAAGATCAAATCTGAAATGATCTCATGAGACTCAAAATTTCTGCAGTAGACAAAGAAAAACACTTCAAAAGACTCAGAATTTCCACAAGGGTTCCCATTTAACACCAAGAGAAGCATGAAATGGTTCAAAATGTCAGCTATTGTATTAGACAGCATTAGGTGCCTCTTTTTATGAAGTCCTTGTATATATGTTCTTCTGATCAATAAACTTGACCTTTGTTGCCAATAAAAAAATGTCAGCTGCTAAAGCACAAGAAATAAAGAGATGATTGAGACTGTTCTGTAAAGCTTATTGGATGGATAGGGGCCTTTTTGTATATCTATAAATATAATTTCATATATTAATTAAACATTTTGATTACACAAGAAATAAAGAGATGTTTGAGACTGCTCTGTAAAGCTTATTGTATGGCTAGAGGCTTTTTTGTGTATCTATAAATATAATTTCATATATTAATTAAACATTTTGATTACTCAACAAAAAAAAAAAGAAACTGTTAACAGCATAACTAACTTTCTGGGATAAGATGCATGAGAAGACAAATTCCATGCCCTCCCCCCACCTTCATCTGAAGAATATCACAAGCACATTCATTTTCATGTGCGCAATCTCCCAACAGCAAGCTCTGACTTTTGGATGAAAAGGGCCTGCATGGCAGTTCAGTTTTGGATTTTGTTTCTCAAGTAGGAAAGCATCATAAGAACCCAAGCAATATTTTGACTAGTATTTTAAATTAAACTGAATAATTTAGTTTAATAATGCCTTTTATTATTATAATCTCAAAAGGTTAAGAATATAAAAGTATCTAGGAACAGTGTAAAAAATATCGTGGCAATTAGGCGAGGTGATCCTCCATGAGCACCTTGTCGCCTAGGCAACGCCTCGACAACTATACTAGAGTATGTAAAGTATTGTAAATTATACATAGCATATATGCATGTTTTTTTTTAAGATAAAATATTTTTTATTAAATCAAAAATGCAAATACAAGGTGATAAGCAATCACCAGAGGGAAACCAAAACAACAGAGACCCAAGCAAAGAAACCCCAAGCCCCAAAAAGAAAAACCACCCCAAACAAGAATCCTTGACCCAGAAGAAAGAAAAAAAAAAAAAAAAAAAAAAAAAAAAAAAAAAAAAAAAAACACTGCAACACTAAGGCAAAACCCAGACCCTACCAACCAAAATTGACACCCTTCGAAAACCCACCCCTACTGCCCAAACCCAACCAAGACTCCCACTCAATGACTCTTCTTATCAGCTTTTTGAGAACAATCTTCGAGTCGCCTTTTCTCTGATCTTTTGTGTTTTTTGACGAGTTTATTAGGCCCAATGCCATATAACCCAGACCCTACCAACATGCATATATGCATGTTGTACATATATACTTGGGATAAATATATTACAGAAAGCCTGTCAGGCTCAAGTTGCATTTTAAGTCGCTTGGGTTACTTGAGGCCTCAGCCCAACCAAGTTGAGGTTAAGCCTAAATTTTCACACCCAGGCCAAACCCAGAGCTTCAAAGTCCAAGCTAGCCCATGCAAAAGCATGGATTGGACCAGACTGAGCTTGGGCCAGACCCGCCCAAATTGCATGGCTAATTTCCTTGATGTTCAATTCATTTGCCATTGTATATTAGCGAGGTTAAAAAAAAAAAGGTTTAGGTCACATACTCTCAAACATCAGATAACGATACAGTTTATTTCTCAATACCAAGTTTAAAATAAAATAAACATAAGTAAAGTTTCACCATGGTAACCCAAAATTATTAATCACATGAATACATGTTAAGGAATATAAGGAAACAAGTGGGAAATGGTAACATGAATTGAAATGCTATCCCAAAGAAAAGATGAGAAAATGATGACTTACAAGCATGCATAAGAATTTGCCTTGTACACTTCAGCAAGCACTGTCGCTCAATGTAGTATTGAAGTAGTATCTTCAAAACAGCAACAAAAGAAAAGGTAAGACAAAGAAAGTAGCAATATACAGGTGGCTTGATGTTGAATTACTGTTCCATTTTTGTTACCAGACAACAATTCACATCTATTAACAGTATTCCCCACATGATTAACCATCCCAATGAATTTATTAACAGTATCACCATAAATATGTAATTTAGAGGAAATACTTGCAGCATTTCTGCCAAAATACTTGATATGTTGAAATTTTGTGAAATATCGTCAGAGTTAGGTCGAGAAGGAGGAGAAAAGAAAGAGCTGATCAGGTATGTCTAACTGACTCCCACACCCAGAAAGATGACCTTTTATATTAAAAGATAAAAGGACTATCCAGTCCTTAAGATACAAACAGTGTACAGCCAATCTACAAGTACAGTAAAGTACAGCAAATAATACAAGGAAAATGACAAAACTAACCTGCCCCTATATCTCTACTATTAATGTCTGTACAATATCACCATAAAGATATAAATTTAAGTAGGGACTTTCTCAGCTTTGGGGGCACAAAATCACAAAATGTAATCTGGGACCCCTGTAACTTACAATGTGGCAGATATCCAAATTATCAGGACCCAACCACTTAACAGAGGTCCTACACCAAAAAATCAGCATTATCAGGATCCTGTAACTTACAATGTTTTTTTTTTTTTTTTTTTTGATCAACAACAGGAATCATTTCATTAACACAAGAGATTAAAATACAGAGGGGAGAATATATCTTAGCTTCATCGGAATAAACAATCAAGGAGAGAAAAACCAATTACAAATGAGCCCAGAAAATAGAATCCCTATACCCCTCGCCTAGCTAAACCATCGGCAAAGGAGTTGGCTCTTCTCTTTACCCAAATACATTTTACATCAATGTCCTTAGTCAACCACTTAAACTTCCTCTTCTCATTGTTATAGTTCCAGAGCCCAATCTTTTCTTCCTAACCAGCCCACTACTACCTCAGAATCACCTTCTATGACCAGCATATTGATATTCAGGTCCCTTGCTCTTTTTACCCCTTCCATGACTACCATTACCTTGGGAGTCTCCCACTCCAATTGGACCAGAAAACATGGCTATTATATTCCTTTGTTCATTCCATAGAATTCACCCAATGCCAGAAGGCCCTGGGTTTCCCAAACTGCTACTGTCAAAATTCAGTTTGATGAAGCCATGAGGGGGAGGATTCCATGATGGACTTGAATTCACCTTAGATAGGACTGACTTTGCAATTTCCTTCCAGTTTCATAGCAGATCACCACTGAGAAGTCTGTGAACAGCTCCAATGATTTCAGCCAGTGTATTGCCCTTATGTGGACACTTCCATGACACTTTCTACTCTCCTTGTCAGAAAATATTCTTGAGTTTCTTTCCTCCCAAATATACCAACATACAGCAGCCCTAACACATCTCCGCATAACATTTCCTCTTTTTGTTGTCCAGCTGAAGGAAGAAGTAAATAGGCTTTGCACATTCAGAGGGGGATTCCAACTGCTGCACCCAAACAAAGAAGTAAACCATTCCCAAATACTTTTTGCAAAATGACAGGCAATTAATAAGTGGTAACTGGACTCACCAACAGTCTTACAGAGAACACCCCAAGAAGAGATAAACATCTATTGGGTCTCTTTCTTTGAAGCAAATTGCCTGTGTTGGTTCTTTCCAGAAACGCTTCCTAACATAAACTCCCAACCTTAGGAGGGATAGGCTGACACAAGACTTCCTTAACAGGGAAAGACAAGCCAAAAAGGTCAACTTGTTGAGTAAGTGTCTTAAAAAGGAGGCACAAGTGAAAGAACCGGAGGGAGATGGGGTCCAAATTCTACTATCTAACTGTGTGGGGTCTAGAAAAATCCCATCAAGGATGCCCAAGAGAGTTAAAGTGCTGTCCAATTCTGTGTCCCTAATAGTTCTTCTCAAACCCAAGTTCCATCAAACCCAGAAGTCGAGTTAGAAGGTACAAGGAAAGTGGAGATAGCTTGAATTACTTTCCAAGGTCCCATTCATTATGTAAATGTAAAATCTTGTACTCCTAGCCAGAATCCCAAAGTCCCACCCATTATCCACAAGCCCATGGATACTAGTTACAATCTTAGCCCACAACTTTTCTTTCTCAATGGGGAACCTCTACAACCACATCCCTAAGAGAGCCAAGTTCCTCTTCCTGATATTCCCAATGCTAAGACCACCAAAAATCTTACCTCTACTCACTACCTCCCACCCAACCCTATGGTCCTTTTTCTCCTCCCCCGGTTCCCATAGAAAATCATTCATTAGCTTTTCCAACTTGCTAGCCACTACTGTTGAAATCTGATTCTGTTGAGAAAATGCAATATGATGAAAGGGCTTTTTTCAGTTTTTCATCTCCTCTTTGTATTTGGGTGTCCAAGTAAGGGAAAACTTGTACTTTCAGCAACATTATAAACTTTTTGTCTTTGGTGTGAACAGACTCGAGACACACCTTCATAACTTTCTTCTTCTTCTCTTCTTCTCCTCCTTTCTCTTCTTCTTCCTTTGTTTTTGGGCATCACCTTAGACAACTTGGTATCAAAGCTCATCTGGATTCAAGGTAGGCTTTTGCTGGTGTTCATTACCCTAGAGGCAACCTACTGACATCAGACCATCACCAAATGACATCAGCAGCCCATACAAGTGGCAGCAACCATTATTGAAATCGGTATGGTTCAAATCGCCCTGAATTTATGGGTTTTTGGTATAGGTTTCACCTCCATTTGTAACCTTTGTGATTTGTTAGGATTTTTCCGAAAGGAAATTCAAAAAAAATTCATATTCAAGTTTGATGTTGTTTCAATGCCTTTAATGGAGTGTTTCTCCTTCAAACCAATTTCATTTGGCTCGTTTTATATTTCTAAGAAGATAGAAAGTGGTCATGTAATTTTCTAAACCATAGAAATTTTTTGGGGTTTTTTCTTCTTCCTATATTCTGCCACCCAAACTATTGTTGGGATTGTTGCTTCTTAGCCATGTGTTGGCTCTTCCCTTGGCCTTGTTGTGTGTCGGTGGTGTATTGGAACTCTTTGTGACTCTTAAAAATTATTCCTAGTTAAGGAATAGGAGCTTCGAAGGATGTTCACTTAGTTCCCAGAGTGCTTCCAGGAAACGTGGATACCTCCAGTGGCATGATAACCACTGCGAAACTTAATGGAACCAACTTCCTTGGAATGGTTCCAATCTACTAAGCTCACCATTGGACGAAGAGGAAAGCTAGGTTTTATTACCGAAAAGGAAATAAAGCCTAAATTAGAAGACCCAAAGTTTGCTAAATGGGAACAAGACAATCTGATGGTAATGTCGTGGTTGGTTTGCTCCATGCAGCCACATATAGCTTCTAACTATATGTTCTTATCCACTGCTAAGGATATTTGGGATAGGGTCACAGCTACCTATTCTCAAGTCAAAAACACTACTCGAATTTATCAGCTCCATAGAGAAGCCTGTCATTTTTGTTAGGGGGAGAGGATTGTAGCTATGTACTCCTCCTCCTTACAGTCCCTGTGGGAAGAAATGGATCGTTTGGAGGCCTTAGAGTGGAAAGGTCCACATGATGGGGAGCAGTACAAGAAATATGTTGAGAAGAATATGGTTTTTGATTTCTAGGCGGGGTTAAACTCTGTATTTGACCTTACTCAACAGCATATCCTAAGTGCAGACATTATTTCTCTTGTTGCCTACTCCCTAGTGCAAGGTGAGGAAAGTAGGAGAGCAGCCATGATGACATCTCCCATGGTTGAACATTCTGCTCTCATGTTCTCTAAGCCCAAGCAAAGCAAATAATAAGTCTATAATCATCAAGGGGTCTGATGATGTCATTTGTCAATATTGCAAGAAGCCCAGAAATACTAAGGACAAATGTCGGAAGTTTCATCCACACCTGAAGCCTAAAAAGTTGAAGACAGGAAAGAAGGGCAATGCACACTTGGTTGTAGTTGGTAATGATGTTCAGCCACCTATTCCTATGACTTCCTCTCAGGAGTCTTCTGATCTAATGCATAAACTGAGAGGCCTCTTGTTGCACTTGGAGAAAAATGGGACATCCACTTGTTATAGTAATCCTTCCAATGCTTATGCTAAGTCAGGTACTGCACTTGCTTGCCTTTCCACACCAATGCCCACATGACTAGTATGTCTTCCTCTTTTTCTTCATACACATTGACGACTATAAAAGGTAAAGTTACAGTTGCTGATGGATCCCAAGCTCCTATATCTAGTCTAGGTGAAGTTAAGCTTGCCAACAACCTTTCCTTAAAACCTGTCCTTCATGTTCCCTAGTTGCATAAAAATCTATTATTTGTTAATTCTCTTACTAAGTGTCATAACTGCCCTGTGGACTTGAGCACAAGGAGGATGATTGGAAGTGGACTTGAAGTTGAGGGAGTCTACCTTTTTGATAAAGCTTTGGAACAAGGAATGTTGTGTTAGGTTGAGTCCTCTAAAAGTCAAAAATTGAGTCTTTTGCAACTATGGCATTGTCGTCTTGGTCATGTATCTTTTGTTTATGTTAAACTTCTATTTTCAAAGTTGTTTGAGTCAGTATTAAGCTTGAGTCCTAATTGTGAAGTTTGTTATTTGTCAGAACAATGTAGAACCACATACTTTGTAAGTAATATAAGAAGCAATGTTGCCTTTCATTTAATCCACACTGGTGTCTGGGGCCCATATACTATTACTTCTATGGGAGGTTACAAGTACTTCATTCTTTTCATTGATGACTATTCTAGATACGCCAAGCTCTACTTGATGCGAAGTCGGGACAAGGTTCCTAAAATTGTCCAGAATTTCATGAATACGGTAGAAACATAGTTTGAGAAGAGAATTAAAATAATAAGATCTAAAAATGCAAAAGAATCCTTTGAAAACCAACTGCAAGTATTTCTTGAAGAAAAGGGAGTCATCCACCAGAGTTCATGCACTCGTACTCCACAACAGAATGGGGTTGCTGAGAGAATGAATAGACATGTTGAAGTTGCT